TTGTTGGGCTCCTGCTCTCCCACAGAGGGAAAGCCGCGGTGGGAAAGCGCGAGCCCACAGAAACAAGCGGATCGGGGCGTTCCGGCTGCAGTCAGGCCAGATCTTTGCGGAGGACCTTCCTCTTCCCACGGAGTGGATTTCTCCGTGGATCTGCTAGGAGTCTGGGAAGAGCGGTAAGTGAACTTTCATTCGCTCAGTCTCGAGTCCTCTCCTAGACCGCTTCAGCTCTGCAATGCAAAGTGAAAAGGGCAAGGCCTCGCTGTTGCATACTAGACACAGAACTTAGCACACAGCAAGTGTAGGACAGAAGCTTAAAGTAACCAAACGAAATGCCAGGCCAAAAAGACAGTAAAAATAGAATTCTGTGAATTGAATTCTATGGCTCTCAATTATAGAAAATGAAAACGTTCAGTAAAAAGAGAGAAGGAAAGCATGAGAAGAGGATAAAGAAAAGCTGGATGTTGCCTTGAGATATTTCTTCCACCTTGGGAAGCTATCCAAACCCTCACAAAGCCAACAGGCACCACCCACAGTAGGAGCGGAGAACCCTGCATAGATGCAATGGAGATGCCTAGTCTGCATTGGTTTTTCCAGGCCAGGGTCGTCAGGTCTAATGGACTCATGCCCACCCCTACCCCGGCGATATTGTGTATCTGTATAGATAACGATTTTAAAATCACTTCCCTGGTCCTATAGTTCTGCTGAACAGCTCTCTTCTGCTGAAGTAAGGACCATGATTTGCAGACCCAAAGGCAGTGGATCCCTTCCTGACAGGCACAGTGGGGGGGGGGCAGCCTTTTTTGGACTTTGCTCCGCAGGGGTGTGTGTGAGTTTGGTGGGCTGAACTGCAGGAGCAGGTGCAGTTGTGGGAATGGATGGGGGTGAGGAGGAGACAAACAGGGCAACGAAGGTGGCTCTGGCAGCCCTCTGAAAGGGGACCCAGTTCCCGGGCAGTGCCTACCCCCCCCTCCAGGGAGAAGGCAATATGCACTGGTTGTGAGGTCAACAAGAGGGCAACCGTAGGCAAAATATGTCAAATTCCTCCGAGTTGCTGTGCACACATGCATACAGGGAAAGGAGAGTGGGTGATTAATAATACCTTAACACCCGTGTTAGTAAGAGTCATGTTTACAACTGAGAGCCCTGAGGTGTGTGGGGGGCAAAGGGACTCCAGTATATCAAGTGCCACTCAATGAAGTAAAATAATTGAATTTAGAAACTTGCTTCAAAAGTGCCCACCTCCCCCCCCAAATAAAATGTATGGTCAAAAGACAATAGAATACAGATGTGCCACCCCACAAAATTTGTCACCCCTAAAACAATGACATCCCATGCTTCAAAGCTCCCAGAAGTGTTTAAGGGAGGGCATCAAGTAGGTTGTTTAAAGCCTGTATCTACCATCCTAGAATCTTCAGATTAACCTTTAAAGCAGAGAAGGGCCTCCCCACTCACTCCTAGTCTGCTCTGTGGTGTATGGGAGAGGGAGGATCCCACATAATGCTCCAGGGATTGAAAAGTGATGTCTCTTCCACCAGTTGGAGTGACCTTTCCGACCTTTAAAAACAAAAACACAAAGGATGGTTCTAAAGCAGACCCAAGCTTCTGGATCAAGGCCCTCCACCCTCTGTAGCCTGAATACAGCCTTGGATGTACCGGGATAAATGGTCCAGGGATGTTCTCAAAGAGAAGGGAGACAGGATTGACTTTAAAATACAAGGCTTTTGTCTACAGGAAAAGATTTCCAAGATAAATTGTTTTCATTTCCTCAAACCAGTATTTGGCTCTAGGCACCTACACATTTGTCTACTATGGGCCAGTTACCTTGGATGGCACTACTTTCAGGCCTGAGCTAGCCTGGAGAAACTTCAAATTTTGCCATCCTCTCCACATTCCAGCAGGCACCTACACGGATCTAACCCTCCCTATCTAAAATGCACAAGGTACTCCTTCCAAAGGGTGTGTACTGATCCGGCCAGAACCCCCTGGAAGATTTCCCCCATGAGTAATTACTGAAGGAAGAGGCAACACAGGCCAGCTCTTACCTGCTCTACCAGTAGCTCTAAAACCCAACGCCAAAAATTCTCTTTGCAGATATGAGGCCCTCTGAACACCAAACTTGTCCCGCAAGCGACGGGAGGAAGGGAGAGAGGGGACGAACTATACACCTGGAGTTGGCCGGGCTAGGCCAGCTGGAGTCCAGATCACTGCTGTTTTACAATAGCTCGCCAAGGATAGGTCCTACTCTGCCCCGAGGTCTTTCCAGGGTTGGGGCGACCTGGAAGACCCTGAGGTCGAGAAGAGGCTCCTCTGGTTGAAGTTTCCAACCAAAGCCAACAAACGGCGCTATTGTCCCGCCATGGGTCCTGGGAGCCCCTGGCACGACCCCAATCTAAGGGAGCTTTTAAGGCTCCTGGGAGTGTGGGGGGATGGGGAGGAGGCGCTTGGCCCAGTTCCTAGTCTGGGATCCAGGGCTCTTCGTGTTGCCCACCGAATCCCGGAGGCCCCTAAGGCTAAGAGTGCTGCTTGAGCGCTCTTTTTCTCCTGTGTTTCCCATGCTGTTGTTAACAGATACAGAGCGTGTAGTTTGAAGACTGCAGTTCAACGCCTTGCCGTCCAGAAAACCTCTGCAGGAACTGGAGCCACTAGGGTTATGATACTTGCTCAGACACTTCTGCCGACCCTCAATAAAAGCAACTTGACAGGTGTCTTGGTCTTCATTGCTGGGAGGGCCTTGATAACTGCTTTCTTTTCCGACATCCCGCCCCCCCCCCATATCCCCAGACCCACAATGGTAACTTTGCTTGTCAAAATAATTTGTAATAAGAAAGTTTGCGTCTACGTTACGTTCTTTGAAGGGAATTCGGTGAAGCACTTATTTGATGCTATCTAGACCAGCCCAGAGCCACCAGAAAGTCAGTTTAATCCCAACCACCTCAGAGAAGCCAAGAGAGTGCGAGAAGGAGCCTGGTCCTACCAAAAGACTTCAGGAAATCTGGCAGGAGGATGTAATGTGAAAATGGGCTCACTTAAACCAGGACAAGGTGTGATCAAATGACAAACAGCTAATCTGCTTCTGGGAGGGGCAGGGGACCGGCTCCACATCCCGTGTCTTGGGAAATATGCGGCCCAGGCGCTGTCACCACAATGGCTTACTTGGGTCCTAAAACTTGGAAAGAATCCTGACATCTGTCAGGCTACTGGACGCCAGGCTGCGCGTCGGTTGGGTAGTTTCCTAAACCGCTCTCACTTAGCAACAGCCTCCGGGGGCCCAGAAAAACCGAGAGAGAGCATGGAGAGGATGGTGGGAAGGCAGGGGCCAGTACACATGGGCTTTTTAAGGGACCGTGGGTGTGCCTAAGAAAATCTGGGTCTGTCAGCCAATTTACCAGGAAAACAAGTGCAGGTGGGGTTTGCTGAATCATTCTGTTTTCTGAGACACGCTTTGCAGCATAGCCGTGCGCGTGCGCGCACGGATACACACTAACATATATCTCCACACAGAATCTTTCCATCGACTTTAAGCCCTCTACACCCATTTAACTGACTGACCCCTTTGGAGGGAAATGACTCAGACCAGGCAGAATGCAAATTTAAAAGGAAGGAATCAGGACCACAAACTTCCTGGATGTGATACCGACTGGGAAGGGAGATCCTGGTGCCAGCGGTCCACTGGCCGCGAAAGGGCTGAATTGGTGTGCGCCCTGCAAGCTTCGCAGGCTTTTTAATTAGTGCAAGAGAAAAAGAGACAAGCCAGGCGTGCAGGCATCCCAAATCACCTCATTTTTGCATTATCGCTAAAAAACTAGAGACCTGGAATCCCTCCCTCCCATCCCGACACACACACACACACACACACACACACACACACACGCACACACGCGTGTAAACACGTAAAGTCTCATGTTTCCCTTTAGGTTCCCCACCTTCCCACCAAGCCAAAGGAAGAGGAGGGAATTCAACACTGAGCGGACACCTTATTTCGGTTTCTGCCACATCTGCCCAGATGGCTTCCCATTCCCTCCCTCCGGCGGCTCCGATAGTTTCGAACGCCATGCCACTTGCTTGAGTTGGCGGCAGAGAATGTCCAGGTTCCCTCTCCCGGCAGCTGGGATTTCTCTAGCCGCTAGTCCTTGGCAGATAACCCGACAAAGTGCCTGAAGGTCCCGCTCTGTTTCTCCGGGCCTCGGTCAGAAAGGCTGGAAAACAAGACGGGAAAAGCGAAGTCTGTTAGCACAGACTGCTCAGGGGAGGAGGCGCGGTTGCGCGCCCAGAGCCGCTCACAGCGGTCGTGGCAGGTGCGCGGCCAGAGGAGGGGGCCCGGCGGTCCACCCGGAGCAAGGCCTCGCTCAGCTCCGGCCACCGCACCCCCCCCCCAAACTTTTCTTTTACTCCGAGAGGCTCCGTGTTGCCATGAAAACGGATTTTCCAAGGGGCCCGACCCTCCCCCTCAGGAGCATCGGACTGGAAAACCCGAAATGGCCAGACAGCAGAGACAAAAAGGGGCCTCTAAGCGGGGGCCTGGAGCGAGAAAGTGGAGGCCCGTCCGCCCTTTCTGTCCCCCCACACGCTCCCGACGCCACCGTGTGTGAGCGCCTCCCCCGGGGCCCAGGCGGAGGGCCACTCACCACTGGCACTTGCAAAAACCCCCCGGAGAGCCTCACTGCCAGGTGCGCTCGCATCCCCCGCCCCATTCCCTGACTCTCGCTCTTGTTGCGGAAGCACCGGCCCTCGGGGTGGAGGGTTCAGGCAGCCAGCAACCAATTAATTCCAAGGAGGGCTTCTTAGAGACTCAGCCTAGCGCACCTCCGTTATGCCTTTAATGCCCCCAGCATGCCTGGGCTGCCGGCGGTCCCCAGTGTCTTCGGCGCTGGCAACTGCAACCCTTGGAGGTCCTCCTCGGGACAGGCAGCGGGAAGCTTTTCAGACTGGCCCGGGGATGGGGCGCTGGCCGGCCTTGTCAGGGTTACAAAGTTGTTTTCTGAACCCCGTGGGCGCTCCTCTGCCCCTCCCCCTCCCAGTTCTGTTCGCGCGCCTTCTTCCCCCTCCTCCCTCACCTCCTCGGGTTTCGTTCTTTCAAACTTTTTGAGACCCTAATTGGTGGTCTCGGAGCGGGTCTCAGGGACTCCCGCCTCCTGAATAACTCTCATCACGTCACTCGACCCGAGAGGGGTAAGGAGGGTGAACTAAAGGGCTCCCCGAACTTTTTTTTTTTCTCCCAGCGAGGCCAGAGGGGGCTCGGTGTTGATTGGCCAGGGCTCACCACGGCGAGCCTGTCAATCACGGGCCGGCGGGTGGTGAGGGGCGGACCGAGCCCCAACCCTCCCGGATCTGAGCAGGTATATAAAGAGGCCGGCACACTTCCCGGGCAGACTGCGAATGCGACCGGCTCGAGAGAACGCATCAGGTGAGAGAGGCCCGCGCGTTCCCGCCGACTTCGCGCGGAGCACTTCCGCAAGCCTGCCCTTCCCGCCCGAGCCGCCGGCCTCCCGGCCCCCAAGCGCCACTCCCACGGAGTCCGCTGGCCTTTTCACCGTGGCCGCTCCAGCCCCTGGAGCGCCTTCTCCTCCCGCCACGCTGGCGCACCTTATTCCCGCCCCGGCCATGTACAGCCTGCTGGAAACCGAACTCAAGAACCCCGTCGGGCCACCCACCCCGGCGGCGGCCACCGGCGGCCCCGCAGCTCCAGGAGGTGCAGGCAAGAGTAGCGCGAACGCAGGCGGCGGCGCGAACGCAGGCAGCGGCGGCGGGAACGGCGGCGGCGGCGGCGGCGGGAGCGACCAGGACCGCGTAAAGCGGCCCATGAACGCTTTCATGGTGTGGTCCCGCGGGCAGCGGCGCAAGATGGCCCTGGAGAACCCCAAGATGCACAACTCCGAAATCAGCAAGCGCTTGGGCGCCGACTGGAAACTGCTGACCGACGCTGAGAAGCGACCTTTCATCGACGAGGCCAAGCGACTGCGTGCAGTGCACATGAAGGAGTACCCGGACTACAAGTACCGGCCGCGCCGCAAGACCAAGACGCTGCTCAAGAAGGACAAGTACTCCCTGCCCGGCGGCCTCCTGCCCCCGGGCGCCGCCGCCGCCGCCGCCGCCGCTGCCGCCGCCGCCGCCGCCAGCAGCCCAGTGGGCGTGGGCCAGCGCCTGGACACGTACACGCACGTGAACGGCTGGGCCAACGGCGCGTACTCGCTGGTGCAGGAGCAGCTAGGCTACGCGCAGCCCCCGAGCATGAGCAGCCCGCCGCCGCCGCCCGCGATCCCGCAGATGCACCGCTACGACATGGCTGGCCTGCAGTACAGCCCCATGATGCCACCCGGCGCCCAGAGCTACATGAACGCCGCGGCCGCCGCCGCCGCCGCCTCGGGTTATGGGGGCATGGCGCCCTCGGCCGCCGCCGCCGCCGCCGCCGCCTACGGTCAACAGCCCGCCACCGCCGCCGCCGCGGCCGCTGCAGCTGCCGCCATGAGCCTGGGCCCCATGGGCTCCGTGGTGAAGTCGGAGCCCAGCTCTCCGCCGCCCGCCATCGCTTCGCACTCGCAGCGCGCGTGCCTTGGCGACCTGCGCGACATGATCAGCATGTACCTGCCACCTGGCGGGGATGCGGCTGACGCCGCCTCTCCGCTCCCCGGCGGCCGACTGCACGGCGTGCACCAGCACTACCAGGGCGCCGGGACTGCAGTCAATGGAACGGTGCCGCTGACCCACATCTGAGCTCCAGCCTGCGCTCCTAGCTCTTCGCCCCCACCCTGCCCCACACCCCCACGTTGGGACGCCTTGTTGTCTAGCTTTGCTTGCCTGGGACTGTTTGTTGCCTTGTACCGAAGATGAGGAGGACTGAAAGTTTTGCTGTAGCTGTCGGGTTTTGTACAAAAGCAAAAAGAAGTCCGGAGTGGCTCAGATGGGACTTTCTAGAGCCACCAGCTTCTGGCCGCTGCCCCTCCCTCCCCCCCTTGCAGGCTGGGGTCCGTGTGATGTTTGCGAAGAAGAAAATGCAGCCCCTTTCTCCTCTTCCCGGGTTCTTAGGTTCTTCTGTTGCATTTGAAAATGTTGTCTTGTTAGTTTGCTATTGAGGAGTGCGTGAGGTTGACCCAAGAACTGCAATGCCTCTGCCCCCGGTGGTATTGCTTGTTTTCCTCCTTTTTGGGGGCTGGCCGCGCTAACTGTCGCGACAGCTAAAGCCAATGTTAATATTTATAGCCAGGTGTGCGTGTGTTTCCCGCCTCGCCGCCCCTGGCCGCGGGACAGCTTCTGTCCAGTGCGCATTTAGGCTGAGTTTGTGATTTCTTGCAGTGATCTGTTTGCTATTTCGTCATGCTAATGTGTTCTTTCGTTTGGGTGATGGGGAGGGGGTTATTTTGTTCCAGGTTTTTTTTTGTTCGAGATTTTACTTTTAATTCCTAAATGAGAGATCAATAAATTTTATAACCAACACGCTGGAGTCCTGATAATTTTGCGGGCCCGAAATTTTAAGTGCGGGTTGGGAGGGACACCAACACTTAGCTTTGTAATTGAGTTTGCAGAGCTGGGACTACTGAGTAGGGCTGAAGGGGGGGGGGGGGGCAAGCGTGACCTGAAATGATTTCTGTTAAACTACTGGTGATCGAAGGTACAACTCCCAATGCCCTCAAATGAAAGATAGTCTCAAGTGGAGAAAAGGGTTTGTCTTCTGAGAGCGCCTCCCGGGAGCCGGCTACCTGAGCCCGCACGCCCCGCGCGCAGCCAAGCACTTGTTGATTGCAGTGGTGAGCGTTCCCGGATTGTCTGCTTCCGCAGCGGTGCAGGGCGGGAGGCAGATAGCTGCAGCCAGGAAAACTTACCATAAACGGGGCACTTCTGTGCAGTGGGGCGGGAAGGTACTTGAGCTGAGTTGAAATATTTACAAGACGAAAGCCCTTCAGAAATCCCAGTGATCGTATTTGAAACAAGTGGTGACCGGCGTCCCCATCTCAGGAAATAAATATTTCCATAACGGTAGTTGAAGTGGGGGTGTGAGTACTCAACAGTGGGAGGTTTTGTTTTAAATCCTGCACCATAGATGGGTAAAGGGGTTCTAGAACTCCTTCCAAGCCTCGCTTTTACTTGTAAAAGCAGTTTGCTTATTTGTTTTCTGAAAAGTCTCCCTCTCATCCTGAGCCCAGAGCTGCTTTTTTATTCACTTTCCCATTACTTTCCTCCAGCCCATAACCACTGACCATTCCATTGTACTCCCCCAAGGGTCCTTCTTTTTGCTTAGAACCCCAGCGTATCTGTTTGGGGCCTAGGAAGAAAACAAATAGGACCCGTGTTTTTTTACCCCCTCCTCAGCTGTTTGAGGTGATTTCCTTAATCCCTTTAATCCTGTTACCTCGCTATCCCAGAATAACTAAACTCGGCTTTTCCAATAAGCTTGGCCTGGTGCACTGTTTTTATCCTCCTCCACTCCTGACCACAGGTTTCTTTGCTTGCGGTCTGTTGAGACTCTAGGCGACAGTCCTCTGTAAATTGGTCCGAATTCCACGTTTCCAGCCGGCTTCCTTTGTGTGGACCAGCCATTCACCTGCGGGTCTGGGCGGGCCTCAGGGGGAGGGGCGGGGGTTTCTGAGGCTTCGGGGGTCGTGCCCGCTTTTTACACATCACTGCAGATCCTGGAGACTAAAGCCACCCCGCCTCTCCCAGAAAGGTCGGGTCTCCCTGGGAAGGCAGCACCAACCCTCCCCTGACGACGTTTGCACAGTCCTCCCCATCCCCCGCACACCCCATCCCCCACTGTCCAGCATGGGGTGGGAGGGGGCCAGGCTTGATTTACAGATGCAGTCCCCATTGCTCCTGGCAGGGCTCTTCCTGGGCCCTGCTGCGTTCAGGCTGGGCCTTTTCCCTCCTCTCTTCACCCTGAAGTCATAGGCCTCAAGCCCCTCTGAACTGGTGGGAGCTGGGACCCTTTACTGGCGGTCCTCCCCCACCTCCAAAGTCCCCATGGGGAACTTGTGGGACCTAACCACCCCATGCAATCTTTCAGTTTGGGGCCTTAGAGAAAACATCTGCCTAAGGTTACTCTATAGAGTTTGGTTTGAAATGATTCCAGGAAAGGGTGGGGTACAAACGAGCCATGCTCCCCACTGAGGGGGCGGTGGCAGAGGGGGAATAAACTCTGACATCGCTTCTTTGGAAGAGCTCATTGTGCCTCTACCTTCTTAGACGTGCCAGGGTCACCCTTTGAGCATGTCACACATACTGCTCACTCTCTAAGTATCCATGGCTTTGTGCTCCACTTTGTCTGATTTCCAAATTGCCTTTAAGAAGAGAAAAGATTTCATCAATCAGCACGTTTGCAGGATTTAAATCCAGATGAAGGATAATGTTTTTAAACTCCAGCAATAGGGAAGAGAATTAGACTGAACTGGAATAGCTTCCAGTCTCTACCCAGAATTTTCCCACCAGACACTGTCTCCCTTCTTACACTGCTCTACCAGGCTAACTGCTCCTAACGTTGTTTTTATAGAGTTGAAATTCTGACGAGGCTTAAAGTGAGGGCTCTGCTGCTAAGACAACAACAAACTCAAAATCTTCCAAGCCTACACTCCCTCCTGCCTTCTCTGGCTAGTTTTGTCATCAAAAGGAGAAATGACAGTGCTCAAGGTTACCTAGCTGGTTCCCAATACAGCCCTGTGGAAACAGATTCTCAGACCCCAAGGGAAGGGTTCTCCTTGCTCTGCCTGTCTATCACAAAAGGAAGCTAGAAGCCAAGGAACTCCCGACCCCAGCTGCCTCTACAGCCCAAACTGCAGCAAGCTCTCTGGAGACACTTAGTAGGCACTGCTTGGGCAATGGTACTTAAGAAGGAGCCAGGTCCTCACAGAGAGAAAATACACAAGTCTTCTAGTTCCCCTGCCAGGACCACAGCTAGCTTCTTTTGTTGAACATTATCGTGCTAGAGATTTGCTTTCCTGTCCTATGACTATATAATTTCCCTTATTAATTTCCCACCTAGAAGTCCACAGGGGTTCGGCTGGGTATTCAAAGTGCAGGCAAAGATTAATAAACAACCTTGTCTGTAATTACTGCTTTTATACTGCTTAGAGAGTATAACCACCTTAAGTGTCCAGGAAACAGAAAAAAAGTAAATAAAATATGATTTTTAAAAAAAAAATAGCTGTAGTATAGTTACGAAAATCATTTATGAAGAAGCTATCTTGCCAAGTGAAGAGAACGAGATGCCAAAACTTTTATTTAGCATGTATGACCTTGGCTATTCACAAATAAGTATATATGACAGGAAAACATGCCAAAGTCCAGAGTAGTAGTATGAATAGTGGTGAGTCTCCCTTATAATTCCCATTTCCCTCTAACACCATTGCATTTGTTATCACCAGAAAAAGGCTGTTTTAAAATATATGCCTTCCTTCCCCACATACGAATGCAGAAATGTGCCTCTTTGTCAAAGAACATTCGAGCCTTTCCTTTCTCTGTTTTGGGGGATAGGAGGGGTGCAGGGAGCCCTGGGAGTAGTAATCCCTTAGCTTTTCTCCCAGCTGAGGCTGCAGTTAACAGAGGCAAGAGGAGCACACCAGAGCAACCCCCTGCCAGGTCCCCTTGGAAGAGAGCTGGAGCAGAGGCAGATTAGTGAGTGGCTCATCATTCTTCAGACTCACTCACTGGAGCAAAAGACCTCCTTTGGATGCCTAACAGCCTTGGATTGCAAAGCGCAGAGGCCACCAAGATCTATGACCACAGGTGTTCTGGCAGCTTTTGCTGACCTCTTGGAAGGAGCAGAGAGCAAGCCCAGGAATGAGATCCTGGTTAGGGGGATAAGAGTCTAGGTGAGCAGCAGGTAGCAACGACATGGAATATGGTGTGCCTTTCTTCCCATCGACACCATCTTCATCCATCCCAGCACTCATGCATGGCCTCCCACCTAGGGTTTCCACTCTGCTCTTTAGTGTATGCACATACATCCTATTATGGCATTTCCTTTCTAAAGTAACTTTCTGGTGGCGTCCAGTGGAGAGCTTTTTTTTTTGGGGGGGGCGTACTCACTACTTCAAAGTTTTTGAGTGATCTAGTTTATCTCCACCTTTCCGAGCTTCACTCCTTCTATTTCTGCTGTCCCTTCCTCCCAGCAGGCAGCGTTCCTTTAAGAAATGTTGGTCAAATAAACACATTGTGTTTCCTAGTGCTGTCATTTCTACAACAATTCTGAAATCTAGTAACTGTTGTAAATACTCGTTAGATGCAGCATGTGTTTTGCTTCCCCTTCATCTGATTTTTTTTTTTCATTCCTCCACATCAAGTACAGATTACCTTACAATTTATAGAACCTGCTACCAAAAGTGTACATTCTCCTTGCCACCTTGGGGCTTTTGAGCTTGCTGTTTTCCCTTTGCGTGGAATACTCTTTCTCAAGCTCTTCTGTCAGACTGTCCGGCTTTCTTCAGAAAACATCTCAGTTCAAGTATCATCTCTTGTGTTGGAAACCTTCCATGACGCCTGCATCTTAAACGTGCCCCAGTTTCTTGTTATGAGCTCTCCCTGCACTGACTGCCTCTGCTAAGCACTGTGTGTGTGACCACGGCACATTTATTTGTGTGATTCTGTCTGATGTCTCTCTCCTAGTGTGTAGGTTCCATGGGGGCAAAGACTCGGTCTAGTTAGTGTGCACTGCAATGCACAGAGCAACTCTCTCCCCTTGTAGGATCTCAGGAATATATATGAAGTGTTTACTACATATTTAAGAAATGGCAGTTTCTGCATGTGGGCTTGAAACCAAAGTATCAGTATAAGATGGTCAGTGTGATAGGCATACTGGTATACATCTCTAATCTCTGCACATAAAGAGGCAGAGGCAGGAGGGTC